GGGTTTACCTGCTGTGTTACCTCAAACGGTCCCAGCCGCCTGGGCTGCAACTTCTTGCACCCCCCCTTAAAAGGTAACCCTTGGGTTGACAACCACACCCGATCTCCCACCCGTATGGTCTCCCCTTCCCTACGGCGCTTGTCTGCCTGCCTCTTGTAAATTTCCTTGGCCCGTTCCAAGTTCATATTAAGTTGCTGGTGCAGGGCTTCCATTTCTTCCACAAACTGCTCTGCCGCCAGTATGCTCCAACCTTCCTCCCCACTCCCCGGGAAGGCCCTGGGGTGACACCCATAATTGGCCATGAACGGGCTCATTCCCGTGGACACATGTTCAGCGTTATTGTACGCAAATTCAGCCAGCGCTAGTTTCTCTACCCAATCGTTCTGCCTCTCGCTGACGTAGCAGCGTAGGTATTGCTGGAGTATACTGTTCGCTCTTTCTGCTTGCCCGTTGGTTTCCGGGTGTCTCGCCGTTGAGAAGCTCACTTCGACCTGCAGCAAGCTCATGAGCTTCCTCCAGAAACGGGAAGTAAATTGTTTCCCGCGGTCGGAGATAACCCTCGAAGGATTATGCAACCTGAAGATGTGATCTACAAACAACCTGGCTGTTTCCTCTGCCGTGACCGCATGTGAGCAAGCTATAAAATGGCACATTTTTGTTAGTAGATCGACCACTACCATGACCGCTGTCTTCCCCCGGGACTTGGGCAAATCGGTCATAAAATCAATGGACACCACCTCCCAAGGTCTCCCCGGCGTGGGTAAGGGTTCCAGTAATCCTGCGGAGGCAGCCCGCTCCCCCTTTGCCCTTTGGCAGCGGTCGCACCCCCGTACATATGCCCGTACACCCTCCCTCACCTTGTGCCACCAGAACTGCCTGGTGACGAGCATCATGGTTTTGTGCTGTCCAAAGTGTCCAGCTGTGGGGTTGTCGTGGAGTTGTTTGAGTACCTTCCCCCGTAGGGTCTCCCCCGGTACATACGGCGCCCCCTTATAGTACAGCACCCCTTCCTTCTCAAACCCTCCTTGGGTTTCTCTTCCGTCTCGGAGTTCCTGGATTTTAGTTTGTGCGAACACGTCGTTTCTAGTAAGTCCAGCCAGTTCTCGTTTCCCCACCAAGGTTCCCCCCCACACCCATCGGTCCTCGGGGATCACGTGTCGTATCTCCGGTGGCCCCTCTCCTTCCGGGAGAGAGCATCTGCTCTCACGTTTTCCTCTCCTGGTACGTATCGGATTTCGAAGGAAAACTTGGAGAACTCCTGTGCCCATCGAATCTGTCTCTAGTTGAGCACTCGTGCGGTCCTCCAGTATTCCAAGTTCTTGTGATCTGTACAAACCTGGATCTTGTGCTGCGCCCCTATTAGTAGATGGCGCCATCGACGAAACGCCGCATAGATCGCAAGCAGTTCGTGGTCATACACAGTATAGTTTTGCTCTGACTTGTTCAGCTTTCTCGAGAAAAAGGCACACGGTTTCCATTCCTGCTTGCTCCTCCCTGGCTGCAAAAGAACCGCCCCAATGGTTCTGTCGGACGCGTCGGTCTCTAGCCTCATGGGTTTCTCCAGATCCACGTGCAGGAGCTGCTCTTCCGATGCGAACGCCTTCTTCAGTTTTTCAAAGGATTGCTGGGCCTCCTCTGTCCAGACGAACTTCCTTTTGCTACTGAGACAATCTGTGATGGGTGCTGTCAAGTGGGCGAAGTTCTTGATGAACTTCCGGTAGAAGTTGCTGAACCCTAGGAACCTCTGCACGTCCTTCCTGGTTTTGGGAGCCTTCCACTCCAGCACTGCCTGCACCTTGCTTGGGTCCATCGCTAAGCCTTTCTCTGACAACTTGTACCCCAGAAACTTGACTTCTCTGGCGTGAAACTGACATTTTTCCAGCTTGACCCACAACTGGTGCTTCTGCAGTCGTTTTAGCACTTCCCTGACGTCTCTGACATGTTGCTCCTCATTGTCCGAATAGATTAAGACGTCGTCCAAGAAGGCTACGCAGTTCTTGTACAGCAGGGACCCCAACACGTGGTGCATGAAAGCTTGAAAACAGGCGGAGCCCGACTGTAATCCAAAAGGCATAACTAGGTACTCAAAGGCCCCCAGGGGTGTGAACATTGTGGTCTTCCATTCGTCCCCCTCCCTCATCCTAATCAAGTTGTATGCTCCCCTGAGATCAAGCTTGGTAAAAATTTTCCCCTGCCTCACCCGTGTTAAAATGTCAATCCTGGGCATTGGGAAGGTCACTGGTTCTGATACCAAATTGACAGCCCTATAGTCCACAACGAGCCTGGGTTGATTAGTGTCCTTTTTGTCCACAAAGAACACCGGACTGCCCCCTACCGCTTTTGATTCTCTTATGAAGCCTCTTTTCAGGTTCTTGTCAATAAATTCCCGCAACTCCTTCATCTCCCTGTCCGACATGGCATACAGTTTACCCACCGGTAGCTGCGCCCCAGGGAGCAAGTTGATTTGGCAGTCAAAGGGCCTATGGGGGGGGTAGTCTATCTGCCTCCTTCTCGCTGAAGACCTCCTGCAGATCAGCATATTGTGGTGGCACCTCCCCTTTCGGCTCCACAGCTATCCCAGCCACCCTGGCCACGGTCATTCTTGGGGTTTCCCCCCCTAGACAGTGTTCCAAGCAGTAAGCGGACCCAAAGGTGACTGTTCTCTGATGCCATGCCACCACTGGATCATGTTGTGCTAGCCAGCTCATCCCTAATATTATTGGGGGCCCTGCCAGTGAGGCTACGTGAAAGGCGATGGTCTCCGTGTGCCTGGAAACCCTCATTCTCATTGGTGGGGTCTGGTGTGTCACTTCCCCTCCCAGAAGCTCCCTGCCATCAATGGTGGTTACTTGCAAGGGGAAATCCAGGGGCAGCAGGTGGAGCTGGTGCTCTAGTGCAAAGTCCTTGCTGAAGAAATTGCAGGAACTGCCTGAATCCAACAGCCCTTTCACCTTGACTGGGTGCCCATTCGGGAGTTCTAGCACCACTTCTATGGCTATAGCCGCCCTGGGGGTCTGGTTGGGGCACTTCTATTGGTTGCTGGCCTGGCTGCTGTGCCCGCTGAGTGGCAGCCAAGCGTTGGCGTTTCCCTGCTCCTGCCCCTTTACCATCTCCTCCTCACCCCCTGCAGCTCCCACCATCCCTTGCCAGGCCTTTCTTTGCGGGCAGACCCTGGCAAAATGTCCTGGCCGCTGGCAGAGAAAACACTTATTGGTGGTTTTCCCATCCTTTCCCTCCCTCTTGCGACCTTCACTGGAGTTTGAAACCTCCCGCACGCGCGCCCCATCTATTTCCATTGGTTCCGCCGGCGGGGAAGGCTGCCTTGGTATTTCAGGAATGCGGTAGTCATGGTAACGTTGCTCTCTCCCTTCCCGCTTCTCCTGGGCCCGCGCTTCCTGCCTTACACCAATCGCAAGCACAGCCTTGGTCAGCTGATCCATCGACTGCGGGCGGGGTGCGCGGGAAAGTTCGTCCTTCACCGTTGGGGACAACCCCTCCTTGAACAGCATTTGAATGGGTTCAGAGTCCAATTCCCACCCAAGCCGGTGGACTAACATGGCAAAGCGTGACCAGTAGTCTCTAACTGACTGGTTCCCCTGTTTGCAGCCCATCAGTTCCCGCCGAGTCACACTTTGCTGTACATCACTGGAATACATCGCATCCATCGCCTGGAAGAATTTCCTCAGGTCTTTCAAGGCGGCATTCTGCGTTGCCATTAGGGGCCTGATCCATTCCCTGGCCTCATCCTGCAGATGTCCGACAATATAGGCAACCCTCTCCCCATCGTCTGCAAAATCATTCTGTTGCAGTTCCAACGTGTACTCTATTTCCGTTCAGAACGCACTGTAGTCCTGGGGTTTCCCTCCAAATTTGTGTACCAGTCCCGGTACCTTCCTTGATACGGGGGTGGGTCTGACCTGAGCATCCTGAGCCCGCCTTTTGTCCAGCCGCGCCGTCAGAAGAGCCACATGCTGTTCCAAATCTTGGTTCCTCTCCACCAGATTTGCACTCCAGCTGCTCCCTCCGTGGCGCCAGCTTCTCTGGTTTTGCTCATGATGCTGCCTGCCTGTCACCGTGCACGAGCGACGTCAGGGACTGACGGATTGCTGTAATGAGTATGGGTTGCTCGTGCGTAAGTTGCCGCCTCTCCTGGCTATGTTAAACCTTTCTGTCTGGACAGCCCTTCACTTCATGGCTGCCTCAGTCGCTAGCAGAATCCGTCAGTGGGCGTTTCTTAAACCTTTTCCAACATAAAAGTTGTTTGACGCCAAGTCTCCTCCTACTCTCCCTGCGCGGAAGCCTTCTGCGCAGGGAGGGCGTGGGTAGCGGAGGACCAATGCTCTCCCCGCTGGTGTCCGGTGAAGAGTCCTGGAGCCCTCTCGCCGATTCCCCCATCTGCCCCCCTTTATCCCTGGTGTTGCGCTGATTTGCTTCCCCATCTGCTGAGCTGCCTCTCTCCCTGCTGGGCCCTTCTCCAGCATCATTTGAGAGCCTTCCCTCCGCCTCTAGCTCCGATGTCAGTTCCCTGACAAGAACATATCCTATTCATTTCCCCCCTTTCCCCCTTTCTTTCCCCCCCTTTCCTCCCAACTCCCCATCAAACCCCCCCAGAGACTTCCCTCAGCAACGCTCTCTGATTTCTCCACACATATTATTTTCAGCATATTGTAAAATTGTATAAATCTTTATATTATCTGTCTACTATGTTAACAATCAATAAATTTGTGTATGTTTATTCAAAACCTGCCAAGGAGTCCAGTTCTTTTTGTTGTCTTTTTAAGTAATTTATAAAAAGTTCCCATTCTTCTTTGAAATCGCAGTTGTCCTTCTCTTGCCATTTGTGTGTCAGTTTACCACCATCGGTGCCAAAAAGTACTGCTCTCCTTCCAGTCACCAAAAATTCCCTCCATACTGGTTAGGCGCAAAGCGTTATTGGCCACCTGGGGTATCTTCCCAACGAGAGTCTTTAATGACACCAGGACTAAACCTCTTTTCCGTAGCATCGTACAAAAAGGTATCCGCTCGCCAGACAGGCGCGACATAGTCTTGAAACTCAAGCTGTCCACCCAGGAACCTCACCCTCCCTCTCAGCCCAAGCTTCCTGGTTTATCTACTCCAGCAACAGAGAAGCATGACCAAAGCGGACCCAGTCATCTGGCTTCCTCAGAGGAGAGGGACCTTATTTCATCCTATGGCGAGTTGCCATTAGTAGAACAGCAGGAAGTTATAAACAGGCTTGATACACTCAAGCAGCAACTTACACATGTACTTCAAGAGAAAATCTCCTCAAATCCTGGTCATAGCAACCTATTAAATCAAAGGAACGCAGTCATAAAGGGGCTAACACCCCAGAAACCCCTGCCAATCACTGGGACTCCAATAACGGATGATATGGCAGTCTGCCTGGCGGAAGCTCCTCATACACCGTCGCAACGCAGACCCTCTTCACCTCTACTAATAGATTTGCAATCAACTACCTCGTCCCTCGTCTTAAAGAGCAATATGCCAAACACCATTTATCCAGGTAATCTGTCAATGTCCTATTCTTCCATGCCTGACCTGGAGTCCTCATTCAGTGCGGTCCAGGCAGATGACTGTATATCCTCGTCCTTTGTCAGTCAACCTCGTTTGGTAGAACCTCTTGTATCCGTAACCTCTTCAAGCCAATATATAAACGTTAAGGAAGCCACTGTGCAAAGAGACAGCTCAGGCTTTATTGAAGACCCTGCTGGCCACATCAATCAAATTACCACCCCTTCGATACCTTCGGCTGTATCACGCCTGGCGCGGTCTCAGACCCTTGGCAATGCTTCTTCCACCAGCAACCAGAGTATCTGACTAGCACATAGTCCCTCCCCAAACTGCTTCAATGTGCTATCCTGGAACGTGGCGGGATGGACGTCCAAACAGGATGGCGGGGATATGATAGAGTTTTTAGCGAAATTCCAGATTATGGGTATACAAGAGACCTGGTGCTTAGAATCGTCACCCCCCCCTTCCCTACTGGGCTATGATGCTTTTGTGATTCCTGCGACCAAAACACATTTGTATGGGCGCCCTAGTGGAGGTCTGGTAACATTTGTTTCGCAGGAGCTTCATCTTAATATCTCTCCTCTCTTTTGGTTAGAGAGTAATTGTATTCAAACTTTGCACATCACTAACAGCCCGGTTGGGGACTTCATATGTGTTAACTTGTACAATCCATCTACCTACTCCTCTTCCCATACAAATCGGTTTTGGGAGGATCTAAGATTTATCCTTGATAAATCTGTGGCTGAATTCCCAAAGTCAGAGATCCTCATAATGGGGGACTTTAATGCCAGAATCGGAGCAGATATAAGCTCATTCACCGATAAGTCGCAACTATTCATAGAAGAGGAGTGGTTTCCTACGTGGAATTCACATGACAAGACCATTAATAGGGCTGGCATCATACTGCTGGAGTTTACCATTAACTGCGGGCTGCACAGCTTGCATGGTACACCCAAAGACTGGTCCGGGGGATGCTATACTTTTCTAGGATCTAGAGGGGCAAGCGTTATAGATTATATCTGGTCCTCCTCGGCACTTAATGATAAGGCATATTGTTTCAATGTGTTCAACAGAACCGAAAGTGACCACCTTCCTATTGCCATCTCCTTCCACCACACACAGCTGGGGCTCCCCAGCTCACTCCTCCTCCAGGATTCACTGACCTTAGCCCCCGGTCGTAAGAAGTGGGATATCTATCTGGAGCAAGACATAAAAGTCCTCCTAAATTCCCCTGAGATCCTAGCCCTGAAAGCTCAGCTGGTAACAATGAATGTGAATCATTTCTCAAGTTTCCAACAAATTCTAGCCTACTTGCTCCCAACACTTACGAAACCCTCCCGTGCGAGTCTAACCTGGAAGAATCAAACTTGGTTCGACCAAGAATGCAAACAGTGCAGAAGTAGGCTTAGATCTCTTCAGTCTGATATGAAATCAGACAGCACCCAGAGCAAAATCAGGGAGTTAGCCCAATTCCGTTCTTACTACAAGAAGTTGCTCCAACATAAGAAATTGATCTTTGCGAAAGAACGCTGGACGGCATTGTCAGTGGCCATTAAAACCCGTGACGACAAGAAATTCTGGAATTTAATTAATGCAGGTTTAAGACCCCCCTCATTCATCGTTAATAACATCACAGCAGCCAGTTGGCACTCTCACTTTGCTCAGCTGTACTCCGCCCCAGATTCCGACGTAAACGCAGTTTCCACTCTTCCTGCATCTGCCTTGCCCACCTGGGAGCCAGTCTCCCCAGAGAGATGTGTACAACTAATTAGCATGTTATCAGGGGATAAATCCCCGGGGGAGGATATGATTCCACCCGAGGTATTCTTATTGAACCAGATGTGGTGGGCCCCTATTTTTGCATCTCTCTTTACCACTATTAATGCCACTCTTAAGATCCCGCCAAATTGGAAACAGAGCATAGTCATCCCAATACATAAAAAGGGGGACCCACAAGATCCGCGTAACTATCGACCCATCAGCCTGCTAGACATATCATACAAGGTTTACTCTAGATTCTTGCTAGAGAAATTAATCGAGTGGGCAGAAGAAACAAAGCTATTCCACTCGGAACAGGCTGGCTTCCGTAAAGGTCACAGTACATCTGGCCAATGTCTTGTTCTATTTACCCTGATTGATAAATACCTAAACAGGTTTAACTGCAAACTACACGCGGCTTTTGTGGACCTGACCTCCGCTTTTGACTCCATTCCCAGAGATAGGCTATGGCAGAAGCTTAGTTACACCAACATAGATAAGAGACTCCTCCTTCTTCTTATGGAAATTCATAATGACATATCGGCCAGAGTAAAATTCGGCCCCCTGGGAGCTCTTTCTGATTCTTTCCCTCTGAATAAAGGGGTCAAACAGGGCTGCCTCTTGGCCCCTTTTCTATTCAATTTCTATATCAACGACATCGTTACAACTATGCAGGCCCTAAATCAATCTGCCCCCTCTCTACAACAGCTCAAGATCCCCATATTACTCTATGCGGACGACATGGTGATACTGTCTTTAACCAAGCAGGGCTTAAACAACATGCTCAGAGGGCTCATGACATATTGTGATACCAATTCCCTCAAAATCAATTTCGCCAAAACCAAAATTCTTACTTTTGGCACGAAAACTCGGAAGTCATTCTGGAACTTTGAGGGCCACTCTATTGAATATTGCTCAGCTTTCAAGTATTTGGGAATCACTTTTCAGCATGGGCTTAGCTGGTCAGCTCACCTAAATATGACCATCCTGGCTGCCCGTAGAACCATCAAAGCCTTGGAGAAATTCTTCTATGCAAAAGGCGGCCAGTTGGTTCCACCAATCAGAAAAGCATTTATTAGCAAAGTCCTCCCGATGTTACTGTATGGGGTTGAAATCTGGGGGTGGAATTTAAAAACACTACAACGGCTGGAGATTCTACAAAACTCTTTTGCACGAAAGATACTGGGTCTCCCCAAGGGCTCGGTTGCTGCTCAGTTAAGAACAGAACTGGGCCTCCCTCCATTGTTGCGAGAGCCCACATTAGAATTATTAGTTTTTATTGCAAATTAATCAATGCCCCAGGTTCCCTACTAGCCAGGCAAGCCTTTTTAACTTGTTCTCACTCCAACAAATGGTCCAAGGCCATGGAGACTATTACTGTACGCTACTCCCTCCCAGAATTCGACACGTTGTCATCTTGGGACCAACATAAAATCCGGGCCTGGATTCTTATAAGAGATGAGGCCATGGACCGGGCACAGTCCACCTCAGCTCGCCTCTCCATGTGGCTCCCTAAAGTGAAAGTGGTAAGATCACTTGCCAACTACTTGATAGACCTGACGGAGCCCAATTTGAGAAGAGCGTTTACAATGGCCCGTTTTCATTCTATACCCACGGCCTTCCTGCAGGGGACCTACTCTAAGACCCCTATTACTCAGCGTCTATGTCCATGCACAATGAATGAAGTAGAGGACTTCATACATTTCTTTTTCTACTGCCCTATTTATGACCCAATAAGACCTAAGCTCCTCCTCTTGATCCCGTCCTCCATTTCATCTAAGGAAGACTGTCTGAAAGCACTTCTTGTGGACGCAAATCCCCAAATTTCACGTGGGGTGGCAATCTTCACAGTGCAGGCTCTGAAACTCAGGGCTACTCTGACAGGGTAGTGTGCCCTAGTCCTGGACCTGTTTAATTCTTTTATTACCTTTTTAACTCAATGTGCTGAGCCTATTTTGGGGCCATTTTATGCTTTATTTATATCCGCATACTAGTTTTTTTGGCGCTGGCAACCAAATCTCTGTATTATTGTCTTAGGGTGTTTTAAATGTCATTACGCCAGCAATATCGCTTTGAATTTTGCTTGGTTGCTTGTCCCCAACATTTTTTGTATTATCTTATTTTGCTATGGCTGTATGCTAATGCAATTAAATTAAATTATTATTATTATTATAAATCGTCAACAAATATCAAGACTGCTTCTTGTTCACATCCCGAGCCTTTTAGATAAAGACACGCATCTGCTGCGCTCTTTCTGAACCCCATGCTCTCTAGAGCATCGTTTAAGCAGGAATTCCAATTACGGGCGGACTGTTTCAACCCATAAATGGATTTGTGTAGGCGCCAGACCTGGTTTGGCTTGTCTCCTTCAAAACCTGGTGGTGGCGTCATATAGACTTCCTCCTGTAAGTCTGCATTTAAATAAGCCACATTGACATCAAAATGAAACAGCTTATTTCCCTTCTTAGCTGAAGAGGCTAAAAGCATTCTTAATGACTCCGATCTTGAAGTAGGGGCATAGATTTGAGAATAGTGAACTCCTTTGCGCGGCGAAAACCCTTTTGCAACTAGTCGGGCTTTATATTGCAACTCCTCAGTAGTTGTGGGCTTTAAACGATATACCCATCGACAACCTACAGCTTGTTGCCCTTTCGGAAGCTCTGTACTTGTAAACACACCAAGAGACTTCATTGAAGCCATCTCTTTTTCCATTGCTTCCTGCCATTTTACGGCTTCTGAGCTTGGAAGCTGTTGTACCTCTATATAGCTATCTGGCTCACACTGTGCCATATTTACGTATACACTTGTCACCTTAAACCGCTCTGGCGGCTTGCCCTTTGTGGCACGTTTTGACCTGCGCAATTGTTCCTCTTGTGCCCCCTCTGACTGTTGGCTGTCAGAATCTGTCTCAGACTTTATGTCTGGACGTGCCTCTAGGGATAAAGACCTCCGTTTAGATACCTCCCTTGGGCTTGGTGTTGCAGGCGACCTGCTTCGCTTTTGCTGTCTGCTAGGCCTACTGACTGGCGATGTTGGAACACTCTTAGATTCTGGCTTTTCTACCTTAGGAGAAGAACCTTGTGCCTGGTCAGAATCTGCATCTGAACCATGTGCACCGTCCCCTTCTGGCTCATCACCCTCTGGACTTTCTTTCTCAGCATAAATGCCTAAATCATCTCTCAAAATGTCAGGGTTAGCATGTAAGTGAGTCCATCCGGATTGCTCACAAAATTCAGCGCTCCTACTGAGGACCACTCTTGTAGTATCCCCATCTGGGTTCACGAACCTCCAAGATTTGGCGTGTGGTTCGTACCCACAAAAGATGAGTTTCCTAGCCCTTGGACTTCCCTTTTTCCTTAACGCTTTTGGGATAAGTACATAGGCTTGAGATCCAAACACCCGAAAGTAATTAACTTTGGGCTTCTTCCCATATAAAGCAAAATATGGCGTAGTATCAATTACCAAATTATATACTCGGTTCAGAACATGAGTAGCCGTCTGCCAGGCTTCCGCCCAGTAACTTTGAGGAAGTTTAGCATCAAACAACA